TTACAAAACTTTAACCTGCTCATAAGTTGCTTGTGAAATGCAGGTTGCAGTTTTGCTATCTATATTTGTAAATAACCTTATAGACTCTATCGATCTACCCAGGTCTCCATTCAAAGTTCCATGGTAAGTGGCGGACTTCCCTGGTCAGATATCTGTATCTCCTCTTTGCACCTTGCATGTATTTTCCCCGTGATGTCTCGGGTCAAAATCTTTGACGATGTTAACCGAGACCATGGGCCTTTTATCACACCTTCCGACGAAGGGTGCATTCGTGAGCGTTCGGTAGTTTTTTTTCTTGATCGATGTCATACTCTCATTTTTGACAAGTGTATTTATCATTATGGATTGAACTCTCCAAGTGTTAAGCTGTGCCTGGGCGGTCAGAGTTCTTTACACCTGCATCGCCTTCAGCTATTTATTTTCTGGTGGTCTGATGGTGGAGGGAGGTGGAGGAGCGGCAGCAACCGAACGAAAACCTAATGCCATAAAAAAGAAGGCCAAACCCGAGGACGGGAGCGGGGGGGTTTCATTGTTTCTATCAGCGATGCTATTGAAAAACGATCTCCTGCTTAACGGCCGCATGATAACCGGGAACTCGTAACACTATGTTACTCTATTTGATGTACTTCAACGGTGAAAATACTACCCGAATCACTCAATAATAACAATGTGTTGCTGTTGCGGGATAGGCGAGCGTTTAGTATTGAAAGTATGAAGAAAAGATTGTGAGAAGAGTGATGAGGATTTCTTCCTGAATTCAAATGAAAAAGAGTAGCAGTGCACCCGAGTTTAAGATATCCAATTTTCGGATCTTCTAGTTTCTACAATGTTCTTCTATTGAATCGAAAGTGACATGTCACATGAAGGCAGCCTTTTCAGAGGTCGCAACCAGCACAAGCTATACTGGACTATATTTGTGAGCTAAAGAACATCCATGAAAAGGACTATTTTGGGCTTCGTGCCTGAATTGTTTCGTTTTCATCTTCATTTACAATTTACTTATTTCTAGTATTGGGTGGATCTGTCACGACCGATATCGCACATCGTGAAACAGTTCAAATGTAAGTCCTTAAACCGCTTTACTTGTAAAGTGTTTATGGTTGCAGAAGTAGGATTGCTGTAAGGGGGAAATATTGTCCTATTTACAGCCGATTCCCTTGCTCTTCGCTTGCGCTTCCGCTACTACCCAGCTGAGCCATCACATCTTGAGAGAAAATGTCAGCAGGTCAGTACAACATACATTAAATTTCACCAATTGCGTTTAGCCTTTGTGTCGGCGTCCACCGGCATCCGCCAGAGATTCGAGCGTACGCCAGCGCTAAGTACTAGGAAAGAATGGATGTCGATTCAGCGAACGCCAGCGTCTACCAGCGTTCACCAGCAGTTTTGCGGGCAGTTTTGCTTAAAGGCAGTTGGCACGATAAATCCCCCAAGACGAGTAGGATTAATACGCCTGGCAGGACGGAATTCCGCGACCCTGAGCAGGCGCTGCATAATGCCTTTTCCAAGGGAGGTGCCCTTATAAGGGCCCTATCAAGCCACAACATTCCGACCCAAACCACGCCCGCCCGCCCACAAATGGACGACCGTTCCTGACGCTCTAATCGATTCATTTGCTAAGCAAATTATGAAGCGAAGGGATTGGTATGAAGCGGCCGTGATGCTGCATGGATATATGAGTACACATATGCAGCCGTACCTTCGGTAGCGGTTATTGGCAAGATGCCTACGGAAACTCGTCCAAAATTGATTTCTAACACAGTGAGAACGGAGGCTCTTTTTCGCAGGATTTTGACCGTTTCACTCCGTTCTTTCGCCATTTCCCCGCTATATAGCGCCCTACTAGCATTTTAGGCCGAGCACCAAGTCATATTGCCAACTGCCTTTAAGTTCAAATGGGCCTGCGAAAACGCTGCTACGCAGTGGTGAACGCTGGTAGACGCTGGCATTCCCCTGAGCTATGTGTATACTCTCCTAGTCGCTGGCGGACGCTAGTGGACGTTGCCACAAAGTATAAACGCCTTTGTAGTGTTTGCATACATAGTTGTGCTCTCGAAAAAAAGTAGGTAGCGAAAATTTGCCGTTCATTTTGTTCTGCGTGATAGTTTCTGTTTATCTTTTCTTCCACCCTGCAGAAATCTATTACGAATTAACTTCAGTATTATTTTGGTTTGATAGGGCATTTATCGAACGCACGGCAGCTGTGCTTGCTTTTCAGTATCGCGAATTTTGTTTTGCCAATCATATCGGCAGCAAGCCGTCGGCCGTTCGAAAACATTGATCCACTTTACGTGGGTTTTTGAAGGAAAGGGTTGAGTCATGTGGTTTGGCCACATTTCTAAAGCCGTTTTACTGCGGTTTGGCCACATTTCTAAAGCCGTTTTACTGCTGGATTTTTATGGAGGTTTCTGCTGGATTAGCTTAACAAGGAACAGTCTTGGTATACTGGTATAAGTCACAGTACCATGTAAACTTGATCTTCAGCAGGCATTAAAGTAATGACGAGGGGGCCAAAAACTGTCAGCGAAGGAAAAAGCCGATTATATTGGTCCAAATTGCCTGTTTTTCGATGGTAATTTCAAAGCATTCATGTCATTTCTCTCTGTTGTATGGAAACTAGTTTCATTCGCGAAGCGATGTGATTCACAGACCACGAGCTAGTTCCGGAGGATTTGCGTGAGAAATAATGCGAAACGAGGGAGAAAGGTAATTGTGAGAACTTTTTGGAATGGGCCAAGTGTCACGTTTGACTCAGTGTTGCCTACAAACAGCGGCAGTCGATCAAAATTCACGTAATCCTATGCCAACAGAAGAATGTTGCGTCGTTTAGATGCGTCGACCATTTTATGGACGCGTAAATTCGAAAATGTTCGCATTCTACGCAGGAAGCAAACGCCAAGCGCTATTAATCTTACGGGGAACTTGTGTCTCCTACAGACCTTAAACACTCGGACCGACACCTACTGGGTTTTTCAAAGGTTTTGCCCTTGTAGAAATCCTCTAGCCCAATTGTTTTTGGTAAAATAAGAAAGTATACAAATCCATGTTACACTCGAGGGAAGGCTTTTCGCAGTCCGAACAATAGGTTGCTTTTTTTATGGTGGGGAGAAAGTCCAGCAGATGCGTTGTAACAGTGTGTTTAGATGGCTGGTGTTTTTCGCCGCATCATCACGCGCCCGCGATGCTTATCAATGCGAAGTAAGATTAGTAGCCTTCCCCATGGTACATAAAAAGACAAATACGTAGCGAGGAGTTAGGGGGCATGTCCCGCGATCAGAAGTGTTGTGGAGCTCCACTGCGGATGACAAGGTGGTAGGTAAACCAACTGAAGAGAGAAGCCGGAAAAAAATCCTCCGGAAATACCGTAGATAGTACTCCTCCCCATCAGAACTTGGAGGCTGGGGTTTACAGCGAAGAACTGGCGAGTTTAGGCTAGTTTTTCCTTGTTATTATCCCGGTGATATAAGCCCTTTTTCCATAACATTTCTCTAACCATTCGCAATGCAAGGAGCCCATAGCGAAAGAACCCATCACTACGGAGTCCATAGAAATGTACGCTGGACGTGGCGTGAGGCAGAAGGCGGTGCATCGCCTTTGTCGGGAGCACCCAGCGTCCTTATTCCGTATTTGTTACAGCGAAAAGGTACATCCTGTGCATTTTCAAACCGGACCACTTGTCCCAAGAGAGACATCCACATTATGAACACGGGACGCGTGGGATGAACGATCAAAGACCCATAAGCGACCCAGGTTTGCCCAGAGCTACTTGATGAATGTGTGAACGCAATAGAAATCACTTGGCAGCTTAAGTGGATGCAATTAGGCGAGGTAAAGGGGAAATTAGAGTACTGAAAGCAAAGCACGATAATTTGGTACATGGTCTAAAATGGTAGCAGAGGAACCACATAACGGGAAAATGGCGAAATTTCAGAGAAGAGGTCAAAAACCTGCAAGACAGCCTTTATTCTTCAAGTCTTAGAAAGCAATTTCGGGCAAGTTTCCCATTGGCATCGTGCCAATAACCGCGAGAGAGGTGGCCGTCCACGTACGTATGTTGCAGCTTGATAGGGCGCTATAAGAGCACCCTTGGGAAAGGCGTTACGTAGCGCCTGCTCAAAGGCGCCGACTTCTGTCCTGCCAGACATGTTATTCCTACACGTCTTCGGGCGTGCCACATGCCTTTAAAGGTTTGCTCACGAATGTGAAAGAATTTAAGGTCTCATTTCATTCTGGATCATTGTTGGATCTTATACAACAAAAACGCTCGTCTGCAAAACGCTCGAATTTCACGCTTCACGCTTCATTTGTGGGCATGAATATATCCCATTGCAGAAGGCTAGCATCTGCATGGACCGTATACAAACGCGAACTATTTGGATTTTTGTTATACCACTTCCTTTCTCGCGCATGCTTATTTTCAGTTCGCCATAATGAACCCATTTCACCATTTCTTATAGAGAAAAGTAGATGGCGCATGTATTCTCGCGGATGTTATTATCCTCAATCGAATCTCGAGGTCAACCAGTTGTCGCTTCGGGGTCAGCTAATTGCTACGAGGCTGGTCTGGAAAGAGGAGAACTCTACTGTAAATCGCCCGATTCTTGACATTTTTTCTTGTATGTTGCCAAGTGTAAGTTCAAAGACCACAGCAGTTCTGAGCTCATGTCGCATGCGTGGCTTCGTCAGAAGTTTGAACAGAGATGACAAGCATTTTATCTGTTTTTCAAGTCATCCCTTACTATTGTTGCGGTTCATCGAACTCCTGTATAGAACAGAAGGTCGCATTCTGTTCCCATAATCCGCCGGTAGGTCCCCCCTCCCCTCCCCATCGCTGGTATCTAGAAATAATGGTGCATCCTCTGTTGTATGCTTACGTAATATTAGTAAGACATGGCCTGGCACTAATCGCCGAAACTTCGCTTCTAAAAACGTTAATTCAAGGGCTCCGAATGCATTACTCAGCGTAACATAGGACGGATAAATCGCAGCGATAGCAGTATTTTGCCTCGTTATGCTTAATCTCACGCATTCAGTGGTAACATCTAGTTATACTGCTTCATTTGAGCAAATTCTGCCGCATGAAAGCCTTTCTTTGCAGTCTAACTTAGCTTGCTTGTGATTTACATTACCTGAAGAGGCTGCTCTTCCTATAAGTACCCCTCGTTTGACTCATATTTCTTCTTTTGGCTGTATGGGGAAGAATGGAATCCTGTACCATCTAGAACAATGGCAAATTAGAGGAGCTGTATAAGGACAACACCACTACTTATCGGACAGTCTTCCACAGCGTCAATGCTCCTAAAAGAAGACCTACAGCTTTGGAGACGAAGTGAGGATAGGATGTCCATGTGAATTCAGCCTGAGGGAGCTGAAGAAACTACGCGAAACTACTGGATGAAGAAGCTGCTTCCACGGTCAATCCCACGCAGAGCAGCAGCGAAACTTGTAGGATTCGTCGATCAGAAGAAAGAATTTGTCTGCAGTCTGCCTCAGCATGATATAGCAGCCCACCCCATCCAGAGAAAGATTGAGTTGAACCTGATGCGATAGAGCTGGATGGTTCTCCCTTTGCCTGGTTGCAGCCCGGACATTGCTCCTTCCATCTGCTACGTGTCTCCCGAACAAACCCGTCACATGGACGAGAAAAGCTTACGACCCGAGTACAAATCAAGACCAGGGTATTGCCCGACTTTGCATTGCCCCCCTCCCACTACATTGTGGAGCAAGGGAGGCAGACAAGAGAATCGTGATTTGCCGCTCCACTGCCGGCGTTCGGCGCTGCAAATCACGATTCTCCTGTTAACCTGTCGACTGGAGCACCGGACTTCATGTAGACCCCGTCATCACATATACATATTTAGACTATTTTCGGTTCTGAATTGCCTGTTGTCGCCATCTACGACCTGACCATCGTCATTTGCGGGCGCGACGTCGCACGCGACGCTCATCAGCGCGGCGAATTACGATTCTCTTGTCATATACCCGTGAAGCGATGGCATCCATTAGGTGCTCAGAAACTGGCAAGAGCCCCGCCATAACAACTCTGTGTGTCGATCTTTTACGCCTCGCTATAAATAGCCAAATTTTTGAAAATATGACAGAACTTCTCGCCAACCTAATAGTAGCTGGGTTCAGTTCACAGCTCACCACAGTGATTGTCTCAGTGTTTCTCTTTACCCAATTGCACCTTGTTTCGTTTGCATAGCGGTAATCCCAGTTTCAAGCAGGATGAACTTCTTTCTCTACTATCTTTATTTTTTTATTAATAGCATTCGCTCTAGTAGGAGCAATATGTTGGAGAGTTGGGCGTTTGCTACTCAACAATGGAACGTTTTTTGCTATCGATAGAGAGCCGTATTTTGATCGTTGTTTCAGATATCAGCTGTTCATGCAGTTACAACGCGACCTATTGCATGGGCGCCTCTACTGCCCACAAAATCAGTCTGCTGAATTGGCAGCTCTCATTTTACAGGGTGAGAAATGACAATCATTCATGCATGGCCCTCGAAAAGAAGGTTTTTTATTTAGCACAGCTGGGCGACTACGACGAATCTGTGCATGTTGGAAACTATGTATCTCAGTACAAGTTGCTTCTGAAACAGACACCTCGTTTGGAAGAAAGAATCGCAGAAGAACACAAGTTGTTACGGTTAGTTTTATGGTCCAACAGGAAAAAATATACAAGTGGTGCGTCAATCTTGCCCTCGCAGCCGGCGATTAGATTGCATCCGTGGGAAAGATTTGGCAACGGCTCACTGGTGTAGAAAATAAGCGTTATTAGTGCCTACTGGTCGTGCAATCTGCTAGGCGTAGAATTCAGTTCGAGCGTCAACCTTCCGTATGAAAACTTATTAAAAGCAACAAAGCAACCAACAGCGTCCAGTTGCCTCCTTTCAGTATGTAAAATGACAGGGAAATGGGTACCATTCGGTTAGGGGGGGGATGGTTTCGCTTGATCATCATACCCAACATTTTCAGTTTCCTCACTTCAATGAGACCTGTACACTATAGTTCTCTGCGGACGGTTGGGCGTGTCAGCCAGTATGAGTGTGTCACCCTATCAGAGCCATTCTCTGCCTTCTTGTTGAAGAGCGCATGCGACAAAAAGTGGTAGAAAACGAGTAATACGAACGATATGATACAGTATTGTCACTTGCCCGCTTCAACAACTGGTGTAGAACGAGTTTGGCACCGCGCCAAACGCAGCCGCACTGACACGCCCAACCGTCCGCAGCGAATTACAGTATACACTTTTGTGGATTTATGATATGATGTAAATTTCATTACATGGCTGCACTAGCTCTATAGGTTTTGCAGGGCTTCGCAAAATGGCTTGTAAAAGTTCCGTTCAAAACGATTTCGTGGTTTCACAAGAGTTTACAGGTCTCCACCCGCTGTGAAGCAAGAACCCTCCCTCCCTCCCAGTTCCCTCCCTCCCTAGTTCCGCTAGGTTGGTGAAATACCGAACAGCACCTAAGAAGACAATGTCGCAAAAATTTAGAAAATTCGGATGGGTTGAAAAGATGAGAAAAACAGTCGTCGAGTTCTACTTCTAGTAAACTTCGGTACTGTAGTAGTAGTGAAGGCGAAAACTGTAAAACTCCTTTTGTTGAAGTGGCGCGAGGATGGTGAAATACTAATCGGCATGGGTACGTTGCGGCTGAAAAAGTATAGATTTCCCGCAGGGTTTTACTATTACTACGTTCATGAGAGCACCGTGTCATCCTTGATGCTGTATCCATTGTTGACAACCCACTTAGCGTGCGCCTGTCTAGTTATGATCAATTGGATTTGTTCTTGGCACTATTTACCCTATACTTCCCTAGTTATTCGGAATTAAGCCAATTTTTGACAGGCTTTTCTCTGGGGGCATACGTGGCTAAAAACTTGTCTCCTGGGATATTTTACCTCAACACGATTATCACATCCACTTAGCTCGGATATCCGTAATCAACAAATTCGCTGAAAACTTGTTCCCTGGGGTTGTTTCACTCCTGAACAAGATTATCACATTCCCTTGAATAGAAACCTTATGCTTAATGAGTTGGTAAGAAAGTTAAGGAAGGAGAAAGTAGTGGGTACACCTGATAGCTCAGCCTGCTTCTGCTCGCCTGCACTTCCCCCCCCCCCCCCCGACATAGCGATCCCTTCCTCTGCTAAGGCTGAGCCTTAGTAAAGGCCTTAGTAAAGGATGTGTCATTATCACAGGTAACCAGAAAGGTGCTGCCTTTCTTCACCGTCTCGCTAACTGCGTTAGCACAGGGCTTCGTCACGAAACCAGCTGGAGTCCTGCGCTACGTGCAGTTGAATAAGCGATAAGTTGCTTGTGACGTAAGCGTTAGGCCTCACTGATGTGATATTTGTGTTCAGTGGGTTAAACTACTCCTGGGAACAAGTTTTCAGCAAATTTGGTGATTTAAGGTATTTTGGCGCCGGCGCCTGTGGCGCGGGCGCCAGACGGTTTCGGGGCAAGCTGAGTGATATTCATGTATAGGATATTAAACACGAAACAATTTTTTAGCCAAACCTGCCTTCATAAAAAAGACGGTAAAAAGCTGGCCTGCTTTCGGAAGAATAAAGGGGTAATAATAGTTGAATAGTGTCGCTTTTTTTGGAATTTCATAACTGGTGCAGCGGTTCACTGGTAGCTGCTCACTCGTCGCTATTATTGTCGTGGTTTGTAAAGGTTTGGACGTATTTATCCAATGGGATTGTTGTTTCCACCAGACCGAGTAGAAGAGCGTTTTTTAGGGAGAATCTTTTTAAAGCCTACAATTTTGTAACGGTCTGACCTTATTCCTTTCACGAAAGCATGTTTTTAAAAGCGTTCAGTTATGAAAAAACGCAAATAGATAGCCAGGCCAGATCTGCTAATCGCCCGTTTAGATTCCACTTTCAGGGTTCATTTTCACGCGATAAGATCTTTATGTACTGTTTTAGGGGTAAATCGACTTCGGCCGCCGAACTGGAATTCCTGGAGAAGGCGAGCCGTCTCGATACCTACGGTTTCGATCCCTACACTGTTAAGGTTAGTGATGGATAAAATGATGGACTCGTTGAGATTCTCATTGTTTTTTTTAGGACCCGAAGGATCCTTCTCATCCGGTTTTCCTGGGTGTGTCACATAAGGGCATATTAATCTATCATGCCAATCAAAAAGTGCATCATATTCCATGGTAAGTAGTAATGTAATGCATATTCCATGGTAGGTAGTATGTAATGTAATACCATAGTTAATAGTTGCATTCATGCTATAAGTTTCGCTTGAGTCAGTTAATTCTTTGCGGTGCTGGAGTGTAGGAGATTGGGAGAATGGAAGAATGCGATGCAACTGGATGGGAATCGATCGACCAGTCATCATTTCTTTCAATCTCCTACTCTCCAATATTCCTCCTACGTACAGTTTTGATCCCTGCGAATGGTAGGGCACATCAAGAAGGTTGGGTTTGGTGTGGCACCAACCAGCTCCTCACCAATTGTTGAAGCAGGCAAGTGACAACAGTTGGTGGAAAAGCTGTCAGCATCACGCCTAACCCAGCCCTCCCACTCCACCCAGCATGCGTAGCGGACGGTATTATCTGACCGCGGCCTCAACGAAGTGTTCGCAGGATTTGCTGGCCCTTCAGAAAGTCTATGAAAATTATGCAGTGCAATTACTGGGTTTTCTTCTCAGGTCATACCTTTCGAAAGTGGATTACATTGGAAAAGAAGTGTACATTTATCCCATGGATGCCTATGTCCCACCAAGCTGTAGTGGCGACATCGATGATGCTAACGACAAGAAGGCCAAGGTATGTTCCATTTTGAATTCACTGAAGTATCGTATCCTCTACAACGTAACATATTTTCCGGTGCAGGATCGCAAACCTCGCCTTGTTCTGAAGTATCATTGTCCATCTGGTACATTCGCTAAACATCTTTGGAATCACATCTTGAGTCAGCAGGCGTTCTTCAATGAACAAAGTGCTCTCATGATCAAGCCAAAGTTCTCAAAGTAAGTCCTTGCATTGATATTATCATTACTTGAAGATGCTATCATAAACTTAATCGTGAGAACTGCCTTTAGGCCATAAAACTCTGATGATACTTCATTAACTCGTATTTGCTTAGTAACTGTTAGCTGTTCAACTTGTTAAATCAACTTGTTTTAGACCTCGGATACCACTTCTTTCACGTGGTTCCACATTCCGGTACCCTTCACGACGTGTTTTGCGTGAGATAGAAAATACCGACATTACCTCGGACAGTGAACTCACTGCTAATGGGTTAGTTTTCATTGCTAGTGTTAGTTCACACACGTTTCCAATAGTTACTCCTTCAAAGGGAAGAAGGTGGAACCAGGAGGGACGAGGCGCAAGCGTTGACGGTTGCTGCAACTAGCAAACCAATTTAGGCCTGCTTTTGTACGTTTCGAGCTGCCTCGTCAAGAACCACGTAAAGAGCAGCCATGGCTCAACAAGTATCAAACTCTGCCAACAAACATGAAGCTCAACCACAACAACAACGAAATCAGCAAAAAAGATCAAAATCAGAATGTTGGTGAAGGGACTGCTACAGGTGAGGTGGAGGTAGCTATAACTAGTGTGAACGTAGCTTGTGGGAAACTTTCTATACCACTTTCTAGTCGTAACTACTACAACTGTGAGTTCTGCACCCACTGAAATTCATGCTGCGACATCGGCTACGCAGTCGGTTCCCACGACATCTTCAGTCGCCAGTGAAACGACGAATACCCAACCGACTGCAAGTGTGGTCACAACACAGGACAGTACTGAAAGGCACGACAACGTGGTAAGTTACTATAACCAGAAAGAGAGTGTAGTTAGTTCACTCACTGTCCGTGGATAGTGCGTTCGCTTCCTATCGGTGTTGTGTTTTTCCAGCGTTCGGTTGCAAGTGTGCATTAACCTACTCACATGGGTGGTATGGGACTGAATTTCCTTGTAACCTTTTTTTTTCTAAGGGATGTGATAAACTATCCCGAACTGTAGGTGTAGACTGGGAATGTTGAATCTGCGTTTATACTTCGCGTCAGCACGCGCCAGCGTATATCAGCGTGCAGCAGCATTTTTAACGTACGCCAACGCCGGTAACTGGGAAAGTATAGATATCGATCTGTGAACGCCAGCGTCCACAAGCTTATGCCAGTGTGCGGTGCGGCCGCGTACAGCAGCGTTTTCGCGGGCGGTTTTCTCAAGTTCAAATGTGAAAACGTTGGTGGATGCTTGCGCTCGCTGAATCGGTATCTATACTTTCCTGGTCGCTGGCACTCGGTGTAGTACGCTGACGCAAAATATGAACGCAGCCTTAGAAGTTTACTGGATATTTTGTTGAGAAATAACGCTGCAGTGAGATAATCAGTCAAGACTTGTTACTGAAACATTCGTGTGTACAGTATTCGCTCGAGTTTAGTTGAAATACAGCGTTCCCAGTGTGAGATAGGGCTAATGCCGTTTGGACGCGCTGAATTTTGGCTGCGAGCTCATTTTTAAAGTGCTAAATCACCAAATCCGCTGAAAACTTGTATATAGAGGTAATCTAACATCCTGATTACGACTATGACATTCATTCTTGGCGCTGGCGCTAATGGAGAACACTACGATTATCTGCCCTCTGCTAAAGCTGAACCCAGAAGATAATCGTAGTGTCCTCCATTAGCGCCAGCGCCAGGAATGAATGTCATATTTGTGAACAGGATGTTAGATTACCCCTATATACAAGTTTTCAGCGGATTTGGTGATCTAAGCACTTTAAAAATGAGTTCGCAGCCAAAACTCCGCGCGTCCAAACGGCATTAGCCGTGAGATAGTGCCGAATAACTGGGTTTTCAGTTCTTTCAAAGCTTTTCTATTTTTCCAATGTAGAGGTGAAAGTCAGCTTCCTTTGTGCACGTTACTCTTTCCTGTCCTGTATCCCTCTGTAATCAGGGCCTCATTGGGCACCTAAACGGCGGGCTGTTTTTTAGTCGTTGGGGCCCTCATTTTATTTTGCAAATAAGGATAGCGATTTGGAGGCGATTCGGGAGGAGATGGAGAGCGAGTATATGGGAGTTGGCGGGCTCCGCCCATTAGCGTTCTCGGATTTCGGGGGGACTTGTCGCTCGCAAGTGGCGAAGCCAAGAACTCCCGTTCAGTGGCCATTCCTTCGGTATCGCACCTTTTCCAGATCGATCGATACGTTTTTCCTTGTCGCCGATTTACTAGAGTCTCCTCTTTTACGCTTTCAAAAAGTATAAACGCGGCCTGACATGGCAAGGGTGCGTGTTCTATCAGGCTGTGCTCCAGTCACGAACGTCGTAACGTGTGAATTTCTTCAAAGGACTACATGTTGGATACTTCTTCTGACAGATGTTTTTGGAAAAGGGATTATACTTTTGTTTACGAATGAATAAATAGCACCAAAATAAGGCTCTTGCTCACTTGAAACCCTAGAGTTACTCAAAAAAACAGTGTGGTTATCTTTTATAGATTTCCTAGTGGCGATTCATTACAGAAGCCATCCTGAGTTTCAGTTTTGCTGCTCTTTTCAGACTTCGTTCACCGTGCGTTTGGTCAAGTACGAGCGCAACCCACCGGCTTCGGTACGACGTATTCGATTCGTTGTAGTGTAGTCGTAGACTATATGGCCGCTCCGTTCTAAGAATTATGGCCTCTTTTTTCAAAAAGCTTATTTGTGTTGCTTTTGTTAACCCCATAATCTTTCCTGCTTTGCAAAGAATCGTTTTTCGCTTCTTTCGAGTGCTTTTTTGCTTGCCACGTGCTGTTATGAATGGAGCTGTGCTATTCGTGAACCATCTATTCACAGCTTCATGAGAAAGCCCTTCTACGTTTCTTTTTAGCCTGAACTTGATGAATCTGTTGAAGAAAAAGTGTTACGAGACAAGCCGAGCGTCCCTGTTATGGGAAGCCCTTCAACGTCAAGTAGCCAAGAACGAACTGTCACTCAAACGGTGGGTTTTAGAACAACTTACCCTCTTTTCGCTTTCCATAAAGTTCAGTTATTCAGGCAATTCCTACCGTCAAAAATGGAGCCGTGCAACACACGGATGATGTGACTAATCGGACGTCCGGCCGGTGTGCGAACGTGTTTTTCTCCACATTCCTGATCCTGTTGTTATTGATGGCTATTTCAATAGCTGTTTTTGAGGTACGACTTTCATAACAACATTTGTAACGTAAGTACCACTCTAATCAACTGATCTGTTGTTCCCACACATCTGACAGTCCTATAAACAAATTGTTGCTAGAACTGCACATAGACTGGACGTGCAAAAAATCGATCCCCATTCTGAAGCGTCCCTTATTGGGGAGGGGAGGGGGCGGTGGTTGAAGGGCTCAGGAAGAACATGCCGTACTTCCCAGCTTGAAACGACGAAAGGAGGTCATATTTGGGTTTTTTAATTTTGATTTTTTTTAATTTTCTTAATTTTGCCAATCTCAAGTGCAACTGGCACGCGGCTGCGTGGCGCCTTTTCCAAGGAAGATACCCTCACTCGTTCAAGCTGCAACATACTGACCCGGACGTTCGTCGCGCCCACCCACCCACAATTGTCCGACTGATGCTAATACTCGTATCGCTTCATTTGCGAATTGCAATATGAAGCGAATTGATATATGAAGCGGCTGCGGTGCTGCATGGATATATGAGTACATACATGCGGCCGTATCTACCGTAGGAGGTACTGGCACGATGCCAGCAGGGATCTCGTCCAAATTGGCTCTCCAAGTCGGTAAAAGAACGGCTTCTTTGCGGTTTTTCACCCGTTTCACTTTGATTTTTCGCTACTTCCCCACTATCTAGCACCCCTGCTACCACTTTCGACCGAGTACCGAATAATCGTGCCCCATGCCTTCAGTTTTTGCCATTTTCTTGTCCCTCATTCCTTCCCTCCTTTCAACCAATGCTCGGACTGATATTGGAGAACAACTTCAAGCCTCAAAGGTCAGATCGAGGGGACAACAGCTCATCAACTCGCGAACTATCCTAAACCAATCTGCGAACCAGAGTCATCGAAGGAGCTTCCGAGAAGAAGTGTGGTCTTTGGGAAGGCAGCAATGGTCGTCTGACGTCCCGGCGGCCCGGGCACTAATCGCTCTGGTCTAGCGGTCTCAAAAAATCGTACGATGGGTCGTCATCACCTGTCTTGTAATAAAGTAATATTTCATGGAACCGTACAAGAAGGAAACTCGTAGTCGTAATCGGAATTGTAATGGATTGCTGTGAATCATGACCGGTTCCGTTCGAAACCACTTAACATGTGCAAAAACCTTGACCGCGAACTACGTTAATGGGCTGGCAAATTCGCGGCCGTCAGGGAAGATTCGCTGTATTCATCAAAACTTAGAAAGGGTAGGCAGTAGGACCATACTGAAGGTGTGTATTGAGAAAACTCCATGGAGGGATATCAAAGTGTGAAGGATAATAATCGCCTTTGGTCAAAACCTTTTCTGGAATGCGGCATGCACTCTGCTTTCATTCGAAGCCGTACTGGCTTATTGGACGGTAGAGCAAGAAAGTGGCCCGTTCGCCACACTTGCAGTCCGTAGGGTAAAGCACAGCTTAGCTCCCGTCAAGGCCAAGTTCGTTTGGGAAGATGAAAACAAACTATGATTCCGCTACAAACCATACTATTTCCTTGTCATTATAATGAGAAAGTCTTAGCCTGGTCTCAATCTGTGTCTGGTCAATCAATCGCTTTTGGGATGCAGCGTGCATTCTTCTTCCATTCAGCATCGCAGGCTTATTGAAGGCTATGTGGCCTTGTCATGACTTGCGGGTGCAACCCGATGTACAGGTCAAAGTTCTTGTCGTCGCAAACGGATCTGGTACCGATCTCCCATCCCTGGAGCCTGGTACCGACCTACCGTTCACGGAGAGTAGCGAGTAGAACGCTTGGTTGACCTGGGCAGGAGCCGACTCGAGATTTGACCCCTGGACCGTGCGCGTGCTGAACGTGCACTTGCCAGTACACCACCCCCGTCATCAGGTTATTGTTGAGACACGATCTTTACATCGGAGGCTGACAAAATTCCAGCCATGTCCCACAAACACGCGCACTTGACAGCTATACGAACTGCTACGTGAATTCATAAAAGCCTTGGCTAAAAAATGGCCAGAATAAAAAATTTGAAATTCACAAAAAAAACCCCAGAGCTACCACAAGACTGAACTCTTTTAACATAAAATCGTGTCTTACATAAAATACCGCTGCACACTCCTACTTACCTCTACAGGAAACGCTTCTGGCGGAGATTCCGAAAAGCAAACCATAATTTGGATTGCTGTTTTCCACTCTGAGGCAGAAGCGATGCAGCGACAAGTCGCGCGTCATATCCGTATCGGCTTCTCACAGACCAACAGGACCTACCGTATGGAGTCGGTAAATTTGTGCCGGATTACTTTGGGAAGACAAGGAACAGCGGAATCGAGCACTAGTCGGTCCGCATGTTATTGCGTATGTAATATCGCATCCGATAGGGCCGCTAAAAGGAATAAAAGGAAGGCTTTCTCCATTAATCAATTCCGTGTGGGATGCGGCACAATCCAAAAAGATTGGCAAACAACGCAGACTTCATCCTTCATTCTTTTATAACATGAAGGCAGCGTTCGTCACGATCGGGCTAAAAAGCTCAGAAACGTTTTTAATAGGATTTTCCTTCACGTGAGCGTAACTAACTCGTATTTACGTTCCCTTCAGAATTGCTGCTTTTTTCCCCCTTAAGAATTTTGGCTTTTTTAGCGAAGTGGTGATTCGAATTGGATGGAAAACACAGCATGGCTGTCGCATGTTCGACACGCGTATTATGAGCCGGTTCGGCATGTCGTCTTGGACAAGTACCACAAGTACTTCGTGCGTTGACGAGTGGTTTTGCCGTCAGGACCGTAATGGCGAAATACGCCTAACTTCACAACTTTATACTTGAATTTCTTATGCTTAGTTCTCGTACACTAGCAATAATCACAATGATTTCTGTTGAGGACGATCGTATCACTTAAATTTAACATCTTGTCCTCAACTTTTGCACGCGAATCTGCACGAACATGCAATTTTCACGGTTTTCACTATAAGAGCGATCTTCGCCGAGATGGATATCGTACGGTGACGTACCCCGGTGTGATTGTTAGCCCAAATACTTCCTCTTCTTAGCCCTATTTTGTGACATATCCTACAAGAGCCACAAGAGTATTAAGGTGGTTTTCTTCCAAACATTTGCTTACCCTTTCGAAAGCAATGTACTGGATATTTTTCAGAGTTTTCTTTGGCGCTATTCTGCTGAAGAGGCGTTTTGGTGCAAATAATTTGAAATCATCCTAGTGCTCCCCAAGGTTTGAGTGTTTCTGCATAAGCCTAGGGGAAGGAGCACCGGGTGATTGAACTAATTCCTTTGTGAAGAAGGAATTAGTGTAACTGTAGCACCCAGGGCACATCATCGGTGGGGATTCACCAACGGTGGGGGGGGGGTCCTGTTGGGTCGCTGGGGTAAGGGGGGGGGGGGTCGTATTTACCTTCTGAGAGAAATTTGCGGTCTTAGAAAAATTTCCGCCAATTGTTGAATTGTCCCGGTTTTTCCCGTTCCTTATGTGCTATATAACCCTTCCCCCCACCTCCGCTCGACAACTTCAACAGCAAAATTTAGGGGAAAAAGTAGGAAAATTTTAGGAAATTCCTGAAAAACTGGTAGAAAGCTGGGAAAATCTAGGAAAGTGGGTAGGATGGGAAGAGGGGTCGTGTTGAGCCTCCCTTCAAGGCCTGCGGACTCAATTGGAATCCCCAACTAATGATGTGCCCTGGTTGCACCAAAATGTCGCAGCTTTCTGGGGTGGCGCCATTTTTTTTCGAAAGGTTGCGGTTTTAGTTCTTTTCACAGTGATATATTTATGTATTTTTGGCTGGTCTTGCCACGAAGACCGCCATTCTATCGGATCCACTAACCATTTCATGATTCGCCTAATATTTAGGCCATGTTTTATTGTTCGTTTTAGAGTACAACTTTTTGCTTTGATCAGCAAACACACCATTTATTTGTCAAGTTGGATTGAACGGTTGTGCAGCTGGTACTAGTCGTGTTAGTGTTCTGACACAGTTGTATTGTTTTCTTCTTTCAAATATTGTAATAAATGTTCTCATATGTGATTAATGCATGGCTGAATAACAAATAAATAAAATATTAAAGGTAATATAATATAATAATAAAATGAACATAATATAAAGTGATGAATATTAATAAGAAAGAATAGACAGACTGAGGTTGTTCACCCGAGAATCGAGCTCGAAATATGGTTGTCCGGAAAGTTCTCAGCGTTTTGAGTGTTCCTTCCTTTCAGGGAACCTTCAGGAGCCGGAGTGGGGTGAAAGGGGAATTTTTGCAGAATACGACCTCCCTCAAAGTTCGTTCTCTAGCACAACCCTCGCTTCACTATATCCCATTCTATCTCCGAATTTTCCTCCCTTTTTTTCGCAGCTGTCTCGAAAACTGCCATCGGGCGATAAGGAGGAGGTTGCAGCGCACTTGAAAACGGATAAAATCAAGAAAGTCAACGAGCAAAAACGTTTTCTCAAAAGCAGATACGACCCTCTTCGTTGGATATCTCCGACGTATGACTGCCCTGACCGTGAATTTACTACATCCCACAAGGAATCACAGAGCATACGGTCAAAATCGGAAACTCAGGAACTCGCTTGTGGATATTTCTCACAAGCGCAGGGGAAAGTAACGCTGGACCACTCAACGTTGACGCATATTTCAATTGTTTGTTATCGTACCCTTTGATAACGGTTAATCGGTTCAAACCAACTACATATAGTGGGGAAAATGGCAAAAAACGAAGTGGAACGGTTAAAAACCCGGAAAGGAAGCCTTGGTTTCCAATGACTAGAAAAGAGTTTCGGACGAGTTCCCCGTAGGCATCTTGTCAATAACCGCTACGATAGATACGACTGCACGTATGTACTCATATATCCATGCAGCACCTCGGCCGCTTCATGTCAATAACTTCTCTTCATATTTTACTTCGCAAATAAAGCATTACGAGCATTAGGTACGGTTCTCCATTTGTGTACAGGTGGGCGTCCGAGTTGGCATGTTGCCGCTTGATAGGGCCTTAGAAGGGTAGTTCCCTTAGAAAAGGCGCTATACAGCACCTGCTCAGGGGCGCTGAAT